TTAGAGCTAAAAAGACTACTTCCTTGATCACTGATTATTGTTTAAGCCATTTGTCGAGCATGAAACATCAGTTCCTGGTTGAAATAAAAACCAACCAACGAGTGCTGTGGGAGTACTCACGTAGCCAATCAGTACCACAGGCAGGACTAACGCTGTTGTCAAGCTGTTGTCAAGCATTGTCAAGCAGTGCACCAGAACCAAAGAGCAGTAATAACAGCAATGGCAAGTGCTATAGACAAGATAGACTTGGCTCCGCTCCACTCTTAAAACCCCAGCAAAAGCAGTATGCTGGCATGACTATGCATCAGTGTGGTCTTAAAATGTAGTTCGATTCAGGCAAAAACGTGGGTTGCAAGTGATTGGTTAGGGGGAAATCAAATCCCCCTCTCCCATGGAAACTGGTTAGAGTGGACGCAATGGTCAGACTGAAGAAGGAAATTGAGTGTAAGGAGTTGACAGCACTGTCTGAAATCAGGCCAGTTCCGGCTCCTAAATTGGTATGATTTGTTGACTTTCTTTATCTCATGTGATAATAAATTGAATATCTTTAAGTTGGTTGGACAAAACAAGAGATTTGGTTATGACACCTTGGGCTTTAGGATGGTGCTGCCCATTATAGAGAATATGGAGGTAAGTCACGCTGTGTGGGATGCACCACCTTGAAAGGTACTTGCTCTGTGATCTCTGTTACCAAAGTGTATGCACTCATTTAAAAAAACAAGATAGTTTACAATGTTGGGTATGTGAGTGGAGGTAGTGCAATGGGGACTGAAATCCAGCCTTGGGCTACCATATTGTTTTCGGAGGCGCATTGCATTCACTGAATAAATAAAAATATCGACACATTATTTTGTAATTACGAGATCAATATGTTGTACTACAATAAGGCCTTTCGCTGATACCGTAATAACGTTAAAGTTAACTGATTTTTAAAGTGAGTTCACTGAGAAACACAAGGACGGTACTTTCGGTCAACGTTTTTCAGAATAAAAGCATTATTACGGAAGCTCATTAAGATAAGTCGTAATTACGATATCTCGTAATTACGAGATATCGTAATTACGAGATAATGTGTTGGTTCTTTCTTCTTTTTTTCTATTTAGTGAATGCAATACGCTTCCATAGGATGCTGCCCCCCTCCACAATATTTGGATAAACTTACGTACCTACAATTAAAGGCCTGGGGTAAAAAGAAAAGGAAACAAGGGGAGGTCTTATAACCAATAATCAAAGCCAGCTGTTGTGTGTCTAAAGATTTATTTTCTTTTAAAGATTATTTTTTTGGGCTTTTTGCCTTTAATGTACAGGATAGAGTGAAATGGGGTGAGAGAGAGAGAGAGCGGGGGTTGACATGCAGCAGCAAATGGTTGCAAGCCGGAGTCGAACCTGCGACCACTGCAGCGAGGCATCGCCTCTGTACATGGGGCGCCGGCACTATCCACTACGCTACTGACGCCACATAAAGATTTATTTTCTTACTGAATTTACTCATTTCTGTCACATTCTCTGACTATTTTTGTGGTTTTTGTGAGTCTAAAGAGTTTTTTTATATGGTTCTGTAATATCTTTCTGATCTTCCATGATGTTTCCTAAAAAGAACTTTGTAATTTGGTACTACAGATACAAAGTTCTGTTGTTTCAGTTATTTTGTTAGATTTTATAATAGTTTATAAGCAGTTTTCTAGGGGATTTCCCTGCAAAGAACTGCTCTATTTAAGCCCAAGTACACATTTATTCATTATTCATGTAGTATAGGAAACAATATTTTAATTTTGGTTGAAAAATGTCATGTTTTTGCATGTTCAGCTCACATGCTAGGGATTAAGTGTACCAATTAAAACACTTTCTCTATTTGCCCTATAATTAGCTAGAGGTCATTTAAGGGTAATGCCATAAAACATTATCAGGATTTCATTTAGGAAATTATTAATATTAAGTGTTAGGTGTAACTCCTTTATTAGATCATCACATCTGTGAGTGAGATAACCGGATCTATTAATACTAGTCTATTAATAATAGTGTGTATCATTAACAGATGAGTAATAAAGGTGACTGTCCTGCTAAGACTTTGCTCTCTCTCTCTCTCTCTCTCTCTCTCTCTCTCTCTCTCTTTATCTCTCTCTCTCCCATCTGGACAAACTTCATCTTGGCCATCAGCTCTTCCTGTTGCTGACGAGATAGACTTGATGCCTGACACACACATGTGCAGGCAAAGCTCAGCATTGGGAAGAAAGTCCGGGCTGTTTCACAATTACGAGGACACACAGAGCAGCACAGCAGGCAAATTTAAAGAAGCAGAGCAGATATGTCTCAGTCTCTATTTATTGCGGCTGATGATGTCATACTCTAGATGCTTTTCTTCTGTTGGCCTTTCATCAGACGGTCAACAATTTAAGCGGAGTCCTCAGCAGGACGAGACCGACTGAAATGAGCTCCCTGTATCTGAGCAAACAGAGCTCTTGCACTCTAGCTCGGACGTAACAGATGGCTCCCTGGAGCAGGGCTCACTCGCAGGGCCTCTGCACATATCATATCCAATTAAAGCTCCGCCAGCACATGCTTTCCAATTACAGAGTGAGATTTACTGCCCCGGAGCAGGTCTAATCCAACAGGATGCAGCAGGGACGCAGCGTCAGAGGGAGAAAAGCCAGAGAAGAAACTGCAACAAGTGTGCATGACAAGTAGATGTATAGCATATACATGCTCAAATTTGGGAGTGCGGCCAAAGAGGAAGGTGAACTCAGTTATCAATATTCACTGGAAACAAAGAAAAGAGGAACTGAGTGATGCAAAAACATCACTGGTGTTCACTGAAACTCAGTTTGTTTTGTAATTCTCATGCTGATAACACAGAAGAACTAAAAATGAAGGGGTTGATAATGTGTGTGAGCTGCAAGGATCCCTCCATTAGTGACAGAAATTTTATCTTTTTCCGGCTTTTCAAGTGTGACGATTTTAAGTTTTTTTTAATGTCACATTGCAGTAAAATTGAATATCTTATGGTTTTAGACTGTCAGTCAGACAAAACAAGCAAACTAAAGACATGATTATGGTCTCAGACACATGCCAGCGATTAATCAAGGAAAAATGCTCAGATAAATGTATAGATAAATAGTTGTTAGTTGCAGCCTTACATGAGTCTGCGACCTTTCACGTTCCTACAACAGGCCGCTAACTCCTGAGCAGACCTTGGATGCTCTAATAATGACCTAATGATGACTAAACAGCAAAACATGACACACGATACACTGCATGAGGTCTGAGAGAGAAACCAGTAGCAGAGAGAGAAGACAGGAAGGCATTAAACACGCTCTGTGCCTTTCACTGGAAAATTTCTTCCAGAGGACACAAGAAAATGTGGCGCCAGACTCAGAGGAGGAGGATTCGTGACCCTCAGGAGGTCTTTTTTTATCTGGACCTCTTAACTGCCACTTCAGACGCACTCAGTCAAACTGCCCCAAACTGGAGCCTCCATCATCTCCCCCAGACTCTGTTTCTATACAAGGAGACACATGACGGGAGGGGAACCACACAAACGGCCTGCAGGCGTGCAGCGAGGCTCCAGCACATGACAGAGTCTGAATCTAAGTCTTCATACATTGAACCGAAAAACACAGAGATGCACTTCAGAGTGGTCCAAAATGATACAAAAGGGTGACCAATGGATTTAACTGTAGCTAAGCTTAGCGAGTCTGTACAGTGGAGAGCTTATCAGAATTCCTCAGGGCAGCTTCACCACGCTGTCGAGGGGGTCCGCGTATGCACACACAGAGTAAACTTTGTGTGAGGAGTGTGCTGCGCTTCAGGGAGCCGGCTGTTGTTTGACCGATGCCTCCTCGCTGGCATCTGTCCACCCCCAGAGAGCTTTGAGTCACAGTGATGGAGCAGTGAGTCAGAGTTTAAGACGACTTGGGGGGGAAAACCCCATGAATGTGTAGAAAGAAGAAGAAACTTAGACAAAATGTGAGGCAAATGCTCCTACATTTAAAGCAAAGGCTAAAAAGTATTCAGCTAGATAGTCCTCCCTAACAGAAAGTAGATATCTTAACAGGATTTTTATGGGTTACTTATTAATTCAATGATACGACCTCACACAACTATGTCTTTAATTGGATGTCTTGGAAACTTTTAACCCTGTCTGCTTGCTGGAAAAACATGATGATGATGACAATGATCATAAGTCCAGATGGTTTATCGCTCTATTCCTGACAGAAGTCTGATATGGTGTATTTTTATTTTTATAAAAATACCGTTCATTAGTTTGTGTGCATTTAATAAACTGTAACCTACCTATAAGTACCTACCTATTTTCTATCACTAACTAACCTACATAATAATAGCTAATAAACATGCTTTGAACACATACATACATTTATAATGTAATGTGTGCTAGAGGGAGATTCTTACAAGTGAAGAAAGTTATATAAAAGTATTTTCTAATAATCATGGACCATGATTCAAGACGTCACCTTAAACTTAGAACTTAGAAAAGAGGCCAAAAATGCTTTCCATGTACATGAGAAATGTCCTTTTCTACTGAGACTGCCAGATTTTTACATAAACTACATAAAATAATCTTATAAATTGGCATGAATATTACAGCTTAAACGACCCACCAGCATTAAGGTGGTGACAGTTAACCCCACCTTGACCAGCTACAACAAAAATGTGGCTTGCACACTAAAGAATCAGCAGTAATATTCAATTAATATATTAAAAAGCAAATAATATACTCAAAGGGGCGTTTCTCTGCTTAATGAACACTTGTAATACTTACATTTGTTGTAAAACACTAACAGTTTAACTGCATGACGTTTACCATCATGGAATATCTTATATTTCAAGCAAAGGACCACTTAATATTTTTTATTTTTATGTGGTGACTACAGTTATACTAGTAATAATAAAAAAAATATGAAAATGTATTTCCAGGCTTCAACTCAGACTCAGTGAGGCTTCAAACACTTCTCTATTCTAGTGTGGAGGTAAACTTTACTCACCTTTGCTGACAGCGCTGAGAAGAAACAGGACAGGCAAATATCTGACAAACATGTTTAAAGTCTTTAGTTGTAAACGGCTCGGCTCAGGAGGACCAGTGAGTTCAGAGGCACCGTGTCCTCTCGGTGTAACGGTGAATGTAACGGTGCTGTACAGACGCTGTTTCCTCCGGGCTGTACTCTCTGCCTGCTACAGGTGGCTCAGACTGAGAGCTGTAGCCTCCGACAGCATTAAAAGCTTTAGTCCCTCCTCTGATTGGTCGGCTCTGCTGTCACTCATCATTACATTACTGGATCTGTACGGCTCTGGACCCACCCACAAACCCCTAAACCTGAACCTTGCATCATCAATATCACAGAAGTAGGCTAAACTAGGCCTACTGTACAAGAAAGGTGTATTTATAGCTGATTGTTTACACACTGAGTGAACAAAGTGCTTTGCTCAAGGAAAACTGGGCAGGGATAGCAACTGATGTCACATGACAAACACATTCATGAAGCCATTTTAAAATGCTTTAAAAAGACAAATATGACTTGATATCATGATGTAATTCACTGTTAGGATTTTATGGATGTTAGGGCAATATCAAACAAGACTAGGAGTTGACAGCTATACAGAAACCATCTCTGTGGGGCTGTACTTTGGCACTGTAGCTTTGAGCTAAATGCTAAAGTCAACATGCTAACACAAAAGCCAGGTCTCCATTCAAATGTAGAACAAAATTTAATTGATTTTTTTTATGCATATGTGCATACCCATCAAGCGGGAACCTCTGTTGCTAAAAAAAAATATGATACCAACATGGAGGTGCCAAAAACTGCAGTTCCTCAAATGGCCACTTGAGGCTGGCATCAAAAGCAGCACCAAAATGATCAACTTCTCCATATTTATCACAGACTGATATTTACGGAAGAAGGGAAAGATATCTGTCGGCTGTAACTGGTTGGTCCTTGTTACGTGATATGTAGTGTGCTGCTGCATTTATAAGTTGAACTTGTTTTATCTTGGGGCACAGCCGTCTGAAAAACAGGCGCTCCAGAACGCGTGTGCGCTGCTTTGGCATCACTCTGGCATTTCAGTGCACCTGCCGTGCATCTACATTGAAAACAATGACTTTGAGGTTGCAAAAAACTGCATGTGTACAGCCCCTAAGTGAGAGTGAATAATTATATAACTCACCCATTCATTTAAATGTTATCACCTTGGGACACTTATGGATCAAAAAAATCCCTGATGGCATCACATGGCACATCACCTGTACGTTGTAATTCCACATTTGGCCACTGTGTAAATATTGAATTCAGCCCTAGCACTGTTCCTGGAGGCTTGTTCAAAACAGGAGTTCACAAACCAATGGGTGACATCATGCTGGCTACATCCATTATTTTTATACAGTCTATCCACTACTGTTATGTAAATGCTAGGAGCTGGAGATAATTTGTCTCTTCAGTTGGAGGTGGAGGGTTTAGTGGACATTTGATTCACCAAGTCTATTTCCATTGCACATTTTGCTTTCGTCGACACACCAACTCCTCTATCTCAGCCAAACAAAATGTCTACAAAAAATTCATGCCATCCATCCAATAGTTTCTCTACGTGAAACCAAAAATGTCCACCTCTTGGAGATGCTAGATTAACAGTCAGACCATTAAAGTCATTAGATCAATATCTGTACCAGAAGCCATGACAACTCATCCAATAATTGTCAAGACGCAGGCTATCACCAAAAAAAAAAAAAAAAAAAAGTAAACTCATGGTGCTGCTAAAGGAAAAGTCAGTATGGTTCATCCTCTGTGGACCATGAATGTCTGGACAACATTCAGTGGCAATCCATCCAGAGGTCGTTGAGATATTTCAGTCTGCAACAAAGACCAACATCTCAAGAGCCACTACATCAGCTTGACTGAAAATACCTTAAAGAACCAGGTCACCAGGAATTTACTTTTGAAGTACAACTTGAATGCTTGTAAAAAAGGCCTAGCCTAAAATATATTCCATTGTTGTGCAACCAAGGAAATTCCCCTCATATTTTACAGATCATATCATATTTACTTTCTGTTAATTAATACTTTTAACAATGGACAATGATCCAACATCCAAATAACATAAGACAAATCAAATACCACCTATCTAGAATATTTCGATTCAAATATCAATCACAGTATAGTGTGTATTAGGGCATTAACAGAAAAGTCGATTTGTTGACGTGTCAACGTCAGTGGCACAAGTCGACACCCCTGGGAGGAGTTGACGAGTTGTGTGTTTTTTCCCTCTCTCTCTCTGTGTGTGCTTGTGTACGGAATGCACTCCCTGCCTCTGATTGTCTTACGCTGATACTTTATCCTTGACTTTACCAATAGTCATAGTCACTTCATAAAAAGGGTGGTAACGTTACTTGGCGTGTAGAGGGGAAATTAACACAAGACCACAACAAGACAAGAGATATGGCTGCAGAGAACGTAGAAGGTGATAGGCCTGAGAAAACGCCTGAGAGTGACAGACAGTCAGTTTTTGCTGACAGTAATGCTGCACTAAACTCGACTGTAGTCAGGCCTGAATCATTCTGCACTTTACTGCACATTGTTGATGTTACAGAGATCTTTAATACAAGTTGCTCATTGTTGGACAGCTGTGTCTGTGTTGTTCCTCCGCCATGTCAATGTGATGACGTCATCAAATGACTTGTCGACTCAACTTAGACTGTATTGACAGATAAGTCAACCTGAAAAAAATCAAAGTCGTTAATGCCCTAGTGTGTACTTACACTGCAGACACACTTTTACCTCACATTTAATTTTATGTGAGTCATCTCAGTCTTATCCAAAATTCCCAGAACAATTACTGTAACAGTCATCTCCTTATTTTGAGTTAACATAATTCTGATTACATTTTCTTCTGCAGGATCCGTCAGTGTCAGCCTTTAACCATGACCAGGTCATCTTGACTTTAAAATGAATTAGAGCTACGTGAAGTTAAAATCCAACTGAATGAGTCATGTGATTAATGTTTGATATAATACTTACTTTGAGAGGCAGTGGTGTATTTATTTTACGGACAATCTGATGGACTTCTGTTCTACAAGAATGAGAAAATAAGAGAGCAATCTACTTCAGAAAGAAAACGTTGACCCTCCACAATGTTGTCCCGTTTCTTCATGTTGTTATCATGGACTTCTAAATGGGCTCGACCATTTCAGGGTTAATGGGCTTTGTTAGGAAATTCAAGGACAGCTCCTTAGTAACAATTCTGTCATATTTTCAGTGGTTATGTAACCTATGAGACAATCTTATGAAGTAAACATGTAATTGCTGACAGACCCTTGTTATTTGTTCCACTTGAGTTGGGTGCTTAAATATTCAGTTTATCCAATTCACAAACTTTTTGTCCCTGACTCAAACTCTGTGGCATCTAACCAACTACAGACTGTAGTTTTGATTTTATTTGCTGACATTGTGAGACCTCCAGTTTGTGGCATGTAAAGTAAAGTAGTTAGGTCACCTTATAAGGTCTACAAATGTAAAATAATTATAGAAATAAAATGGAAGATGTGACACTGATTTTTGTTTCAAGTTATGTATTTGGGTAAAAAGCCACACCAACTTTTAGGTTTCTCATAATTATGTATGTTCAACATAATGCTGGTCGCCAGTAAAAAAGCGGTCACAAAAAAATGGCTAAATCAAAGAGCACCCACACTAGTAGACTGGTTCAATGTGATGCATGAAATTTACGTCATAGAAAAACTAACATTTGCTCTAAGACTCAAGATGGATCAATTTGAAAAATGCTGGAAAGGATGGATTGATTTCATTAGCCCACATAGATCAGACTTCAGGTTATAATGGAACATCATTTGTAATATAACCCCCATGTTTTTTCTATGCTACACGCCCCCCTTTTATTTATTTATTTTACTTTACCTCTATTTGTAATTCTTTTACTTTCTTTTTCGGTTTGTCCAAGTAGTATAACACCCTGTATATGTTGACTTTAAACATAATAAAAAGATAATTTAAAAAAAAAAGAAAGAAAATGGACATAAAGGACATTCCCCTTCAAATCAATGCAGCAGGATGGTAAGAGCGGCAGCCATATTAATGTGTACCATTGGCACATGGGAAAAGTTTGCCTTGTAGGCTTTTTCAAGGAAGACTTTTCTGACAGAAATGTTTTCATTTAAGGGTGCCCAGTAGTTCACTAGTTACAGCAGGCGTCCCATTGTGGCATTGTCCTTACCACAGCTGCCGCGGGTTCGATTCCAGCCTGCAGCCATTTGCTGCATCTCATTCCCTCCCTCTTTCCTTCTCTTTTGTTTAATCTATCCTGTCAAATAAAGGCATAAAAATAATAATTTAAATTAAATTAAATTATTAAAAAAAGAAATCTATTTATTTTAACCCAAACCACAACTTTATTTCTAACTTTAACCAAGAGAGCCCTTTCTGGTAGAAAGCCCTCAAGGAAAATTTTCTCCAACTGTGTACTATCGTCATTGTAAGTGTGCTAACTTCCGTATAAACCACTGCATAAAAGAAATCGACTCGCAGCAAGTGACAAACTCCCTGGGGTGAGGTTTTGCAGTAATGACCAAATGAGCAGTGGAGTGGTTGGAGTAAATATTACTGTATTTCCCTGCTTCTTTTGTCGCCATTAATTGCATTTTTGTTGGAAATATTATGTAACGTTATTGTAGTTTCCTCCAAAGAAGAGTGAGAGCTGCTGCTAAGCGGACAGCTGAGAGGCAGAGAAGGAATCAGCAGGCTCACCACTGTGCGGATCAGGATATTTTCACATCTCACTCGGTCAGTTAAGGGTTTAACCAGAGTTGGTGATTGTTGGAACAGTGGAAAGACTAACATTAACTAAGACAGTTTGAGAAGTGTTCTTTTTTTTTTGTCAAGTTTGAATGAAGTGTGTTTTTACAAAAAGTTAATGAGGCAATATAGCATAAAGAGAGAAACTTGGATTGGTTACAGTTGTATTTTTCTGTTTAATAAGGAAAATAGTTGTTAGATTTGGCCAAAAAAGAGTTCTCAAACGAGCGTGTGACACACTTTACAGTGGAACTAGTCAAATGTTGAGGGATGAGGAAGTACACTATTATCTGTATCTATATCTGTTCAACAAAATTATTTTTATCTGTTCTATCTGCTCTAAATAGGCTGAGTTTATGCCAGACATGGGCGTGGT